TAATAAATGGTATTTTATTCATGCTATTATTAATTAAAAAAAAACTTTCTAAATTTAAAATATTTAAAAGAAACCAACGAATTGCCAGAACTGTTATTTAATTGGAATAATGTATAATTTAATAACCCTGTTTAAAATTGTCATAATGGCATCATAGAGACACAGCCAGGTCCCAAAATTCTGGAGATCCTTTTTAAAAAATTCGAATACTCAACGATTACCTGAATAAATTTAGTATAAATTTTTATTTTAAATCTATAAGCTCGTGAATTTTTTAAAAAAAAAAATGAGAGAGAAAGAAAGAAAAGAAATTATCAAGTTTATTCTGGCAGTCATCGAGAAACATTCGCTTAAAATTTTTCTAAAAAAAAAAACACTAGATATCAAAAAGAAGGCTACGCTCGTATTTATTAAAAAAAATCTATTTATGATTACCAAAGCAGGTTCAATAAAATGATTGTATTTTAATGGGTAGTCATTGAGAAATATTTATTTGAAGGTTAATAATTAGTATGGCTTCTGTAGTTAAAATTTTTAAAACTTCAAATGAAGATTAAAAATATCATCAAATTTTTTTTTATTTATTTATAAGCGAATATTCTAATAAACAAACTTGAATTTTTTTTTATAAGTTTGTAGAATTAAAATAAAAAATTTTCATTAAATTTGTTTAGATACCAAATACTCTCAAAAATAAGCTACTTCGAAAACCCACTACCTCTGTTTTTTGTAAAAATCTCAAATCGTTTCTACATATAAAAGTCAAATTTTTACAAAGTAACCTACTTGAAGTTCTTAAGCAAAGTTGTTCAAGACATCAAAATACATGTATCTTGAAAGTTTTATGCAATTTTAGCAAGTTTTCAACAAGTATTCACGGAGATATTTTAATTTTTCTAAAATCTAATGTTTTAAAAATAAAATATTTGTAGTTCATTTTTGAAAATATAACGATATTCATTGAAAAATCTTCGATCAAAGTTTCAGAAAACATTAAATTGTTTAAAGGATTATAAATGGCTAACCAAAATCATGAATCAGTCATGGCAAATCATGAATCAGTCATGGCAAATCATGAATCAGTAATGGCAAATCATGAATCAGTCATGGTAAATCATGAATCAGTTGTGGCAAATCATGAACTTTTCGTTGCAAATCATGAACCTGTCATGGCATTTGGGAGAGTTGCCTGGCCGTGTCGCATCATAGGCAGTTATAGTCAGAGCACAAAACTTATTGTAGAATGACGGAGGTTTCCGTCCACGTAAGACAATTTTCGCCCCGATTTTTCAACAGACGGAAAATTTCCGTCATTTATAATAATGACTTCCGACTCTGGTTTCTAAATTTCGATTGGGAAAAATCACTTTGGAAAAAATCACATTACATCACTCGGAAATTTTGTGCACTGGTCATAATTGCAAATTTGATTGCAAATAGTACATTAAATTATAAAAATAGTAATACTTTGCAATGGTAACGAAATTTGATTCTAAAGTAAAAGGTTTCGACAAATACAACCTAGTAGGCAGTGTTGTCATGTCCAACTGTTTTGATTGGACATTGGACGTCCAAAACGTTGGATTGGACATCCAATCTAAAGGTTGACATTGATTGGACGTCCAATCCAAAGGTGGACGTTTGGATTGGACGTTCAATCCAAAGGTATCCAAATGTACATCACTGCTAGTAGGAGATTATTAATAATAGCATCAGTTAAATTCATTGTATTACTTAAAGAGAAAAATCAAAATGACCCTAAAAATTCGCCAGGGGGGACCACGGTTAGTGATATTAAAAGTATTAATATAAAAAAAATGTATTTGTAACCGGAGGCGAATTTTTTTTTTAGTTATATTTAGGGTTAGAATAGATAATAATATATAAAGTAAAATTTAGCAAGGATCATTTTTTGTTAAGACATGAAAGTGGGTTTCATAGGCTTATTAATAAATTGATTAATAATCGTGCATTGCCACCGTAACACAAACATATAAAACAGTAAATATTCTACGTATTTTTGCTGTAAATTTGCTTTAATTTTAGAGTGTCATTTTAGGATTAGAAAGGGCAAAGATTATGTCTAAATTTTGCAAGAAATGTTTTTTGTCAGAACATAAAAGGCAGTTTTTTTTAGTTATTAGTGATATTTTTAAAAATATCACGATCTTGTGATCTACATACAAAATTTCCCTTTTTTGGTTTGTATCACGGTTGGAAATAAGAACGTGCTAAATACCATTACCCGCACTTTTAGTGGTCGCCGTGACCTCCTATACATATGTTGCAATTCATTAAGGTCCGTACGTAAGTTTATCTTGTCATTGTTGCATCTATAAGCATGTGAATGTTGCGTCCGTTAACTCCGATAAGATATTAGCGTTAAATGTATATGATATGAATTATGCATTCGCCTTCAGTCTCAATTAAGAATTTATATCTATAAAAATACTAGTATAAAAACTTCATATACCTATTAATAATATTTTTTATATGTACTATCATATTATTTTTTATATAGTTAGAACTATAATCAGTGCTAATATAAATTTTTTTATAATTAGAATTAAATAAGAAATTTCTTAATTATGAAACACGGGTATAATTTGTAGATCAATATAATGCAAAACTTAAAACTTAGGATAGTCTTAGTTACTAAAATTTCACGATTTTTTTTGCTTGTTAGAACCCAAAGAGTGGTTCATAAGCAAAATTTTGGATTATTACATATACTAGTGTTTCATACTCTTAGTGTACAAATAGAAATTGTCTTAAAATAAAGTCCTAATACACTTTTTATAGTTAGAATAACGGTAATATTATGTCATACCCAGATTGAATCGTCCCGATTCAGAGTCGAGCTATCACTCTGGTAAAATTAAATTAATTACGGCTAGAATTAGACTCATTAATTTGGCTAAAATTAAAAATTCTCATCCGGAACTGACTCGATTCTGAATCGGAACGATTTCAATCCGGAGTATAATATTATTTTAAAATATATTTAAAGTCAGATTTTATGATTTTTTTTATAGTAAGGATTAGGAGAAGGGTAAAATCTTATATGAGCACTGTCAAGAGAAAACCTGTCATCAGGCATTCAATTTTATCTTGTACCGGACACAATCAATAATAAATCAGATACAAAATAAAATTGAATGCCTAATGACAGTTTTTCTCTTTACAGCACTCATATACAGTCAACTCTTTCTAATAATGAACTGAAGAATTTGAAAACCACTATGTTCCAAACTACACTAAAGCTTTTCGGTCTTCTGTAAGAATCCTTATACACATATACGGGCTGCGGTCAATAGAAGCCAAGCATAAAGTAATATGGTGTGTACGTACGTACGTACGTACGTTGCCAATCATATAAAAGCACATCTAGGTTTAGCCTCATGTTTAACAGGTATATAATTCATTGAATGAAGCACATTATTTTTAGAAAGGCAATCTCTCCCTTATTATATAGGAATAGATTTTAAAGGAAGATTTTCTGGAATACATCGTATAAATATTTGGATCTGTAAATATTTGGAATCTGTATTTCTATCGAAGAATCACATCACGTGACGATGAACAAACAATAATCTGCTAAAACTAATATATACTAAACGTCACATTAAGTGATGTAGATTAAATGACTAGGCGCCAAATTTTTGGTAAAGTGATTGCATTAATTTCGTTTTTATAGTTTAAAAGTAAACAACTTTCAATTATGATACGCGTTATCTATATATAGCACATAATTATTTATCATTTATTCTCCATAACCGCAATTCTAATTAGGTTTCTTTAAAAAAACTTGCAAACGCATTTTTCTTTTTCGGACATCAAATGACACTTCGATTTATAGTTTATTTTTTATTCTTATTTCTTTGGTGCTCTATCGTAAAAACTCGTTTAATCAACGGTAGTGACAACAATGCTATAAATCCGGCTGCTGGAACTCCGCAACAACCTTTCTTGAGGGCCATTAGCTCATTAAATTTCAAGTATAATAATTAATCATTTATTTATAATATGAGTGTTGCCTAAGGAAAATAAGGCTTTGGGCTTTCAAATTTATATTGTTATTTACCAGATTCAATTTGATGGCGACACGCATTAGAGCTCTGTTCATTTTTGATCATTAGATATCCAATATAGAAATAACTTCAAGAACAATGTGCATGCATAGTAGTCTTTTAGAAATTATTTCTAAACTAGCACAAAGCCCAAATTTAAATTACTAATCTCTATCATATAATGATAATAAACTTGAAATCTCAAGTCATATTTTTCCTTGGCAGCATTTATTCAATTAAAGTTTATTCAGTAGTAATTCATAATTCACAATATAGTAAAAATTTTACTCCTGTTTCGTCTCCCACTGACTTTCTTGGTTTCTTTTAAATATTTTAAATTTAGAAAGTTTTTTTTTAATTAATAATAGCATGAATAAAATACCATTTATTA